CCCAGCCACCCTACAAGGGAGGGAGATTGTGCGTGGCTTGGTGCATCCCCACCCATCCCCTTTGGGCCCCACCTGCTGAGGACCAGATGCCGCCTCCCTGGGGCCCCAGCATGGCTCTCTCCACGTCCCATACAGAAGCTGGTCTGGGGGCCTCTGGAGAAAAAACTCTCAGGGGTGTTAGTACCTGGTTGGGTGTCGGGAGATCTGTTTCCAAACTCCATCCTGATGTCTGACCTTGGCCCAGTCACTTGACTGCTCTAGGTCTCATCTCTGAAAGCCGCAAGGCGGGTATGGAAATGTGGGAGAAGGCCCCGGAGGGGCGCTCAGGGCTAGGAAGGGACTGAAGAGGGCTGTCAGAGCTCCTGAAGCGGTGGGGGTGGCTCGCGGTGAGAGACTGCACACCGCGAGGCAGGGGAGTAGAGGCTTTATTGGGGACACGCAGCGCATGGGGTGGATACGGTAGGGCAGAGTGGGGGTACAGGTAGTCTGCACCATGAGGGTCCCCAGAGCAGCAAAAAGGCAAAGGGCAGCGCCATCTCCAGGGGTCTGGACGTCCCTAGTTGTCAGCAGAGAAGGCAGGCAGGCATTGCTGGGACTTCAGGCCCCAGAGCTGAAAGTCAGAAACGACCACAGCCAATTCCCACCTAAAGAATCCCAAGGGACGCGTGGGTGGCTCAGTCATGAAGCGTCCGATTTCGGCTCAGGTCACGATCTCACGGTTCACGGGCTCTAGCCCTGCGTCGGGCTCTGTGCTGACAGTGCAGAGCCTGCTTGGGATTCTCTCTCTCCCTCTCTCTCTGCCCCTCCCACACTTGTGTACTCTTTCCCTCTCAAAATAAATAAAACTTAAGAAAAAAAAAAAAAAAAAAAAAAAAAGAATCCCAACTCCAATACCTGCTCCTCTTTGCACATTTCCAGAGTGGGGGCTCGCCCTCCCAGCAGCCCCAGCCACTGGGATGGCTCTCAACCTTTATCTCTCAGGGTGTCTGTTCACAGGGTCCTGCAGCCCTCGATGGCTCTGCTTCGTGAGGAAAATGGGCCTGTTTCTGACAAGAACAAACCAGGGCTGGCCTGGAGACAGGGTGTTGGGGTCACTTCCTGAGGTGCCAGCCAGGCCTGCCCCTCCCTCAAAGAAGGCTCACTGGGCCTGTGCCTTCCCTGCCTGGGAACCTGGAAGAAACCTGACATCCCAGAAAAGAATCTACTGTCTCCTGCTCCAGAGCTCCCAGCTATCTAGCTTCCCCAGGCAGAGGGAGACCCCTTCACTATACTGTTCCCCACTTCATTGTATGAACCTCACAGGCTCTCAGCTCAGGGGGTCCCCCTCCCCAAGGCCATCTTGGCCAAGCCCCTGCTAAGGGCCACCCGCAAACCAGCTGGGCAGCTACATAATAGATCATCTAAAATCAGACTTGCACACAGAGCAGGTACAGACTCTAGAATATAGCCTTATGAATACAGCGTGCTCTCTCTCAATATATATGCACAAGTACAGATAGAGACATCCCTCTGTAACATGTTACATGTCCTCTCCCTGTCACTTCTCCCTCCTGAAGTCGTTCTCCAAAGAGCAAGAGTTGGCAAGCCTAGCTGCTAGTCTGCCAGTCACTCCCCACTGCCCAAATCAAGCCCCGCAGCAACCCTGCCTGAAGTCCCGAGGCCCCTGGGGCGTCATGGGACCACACCAGGCCCGGGCCAGGAGTAAGTGCCTTCCTGGGTCCTCAGGCTGAGTGTTCACCTCTGGACTTCTGTCGCCAGGAGGGTACCAAATGCCCCTGTGTGGATTCCCCAAGGAGGCCGCTCTGTCGTCGGTCTCCCCATCTCCCATCTCCAGAGGAAGTCCGATGGCAGGGAACTTGGATTTCTCTTTCTGCGTGTCTATGTCTGCCTCTCTCGGTCTCTTTGAGTCTCTGTCCGGACAGCGAAGCAGAGAGAAAATAAATGCGCTCGGCCCCCTCCGTCTGCCCACACAAGGTCAACCAGGCTTCATGGTCTACAGCAGAAGCAGCAGCCACCGGTCCAGCTTCTAGACTACAAGTCCTTTGCGTCTTCCTCCCGTGAGCAGGAGCACCAGCACCATGGAGAGGAGAGGAGGAAGGACACAGGCTCAGGGGGTCCCGGGCGAGCTGAGTACAGGCCAGCAGCTAGAAGAACGTCCTCAAACACACACCTCGGGGCAGGGGGCACGGGCAGGGCTGGCACGGGGAGGGGGCAGCAGCGAGCAGCTGCCGTCAGAGCTGGTTAAAGACCACGGAGGCCTTGAGGTTGGCGGGTTCCAGGCCCTCGCTGAAGGCGATGAGGAAGTACATGACCTTGCGGATCTTGGCCAGGTCCGACAGGCGCTCCCCGAACTCCAGGGCATCGGCCTCATTCCAATCCATGGTGTCCGAGTCCTCCTTGTGCCAGAAGATGGCAGCAGGGTCCAGCAGCTGGCGTGTCATGAGGTTGGTGAGGTCGGGCGTCCAGTTCTGGGAAGTACCCGTGATAGTAACCTTGCCCGGCTTGTCCAGCACAACGTCCCAGCGCTCAAACTGCAGCCTCTGCTGCTGGATGAAGTCAAGGCGGTACACAGACTCGGCCGGCTGCAGCAGCTTCTCGCCATCCTGGCGCTTCTCCCCGCGCTGCTTCAGGCTCTCCACGCGCAGCCGCATCTGCCTGGTCAGGTTGTGGTCCAGGACCAGGGGCATGTTGAGCTGCAGTGGCTTGGGCCCGTCCTCCGCCATGCCCAGCTGCTGCTGTTCCTCCGCCGTCTGGGAGCCCGGTGTGCCGGGGCCTCGCTGCCAGGGCGAGAGGCCACCAAAGACGCCCCACCTACCCCTCCGCCCTCCCCCGTCCCCTCCCCTCTTGGCCACTGGCCCTTCCCGGCCCTGCCCAACCCTCAAAATGGGGGTGGGAGTCCCCAAACGCCTCCTCTCTACACCTCGAAGAGGCCGTAACACAGGCACTGCAGGCAGGCGGGAGGCGGCCGGGCTCCTCGGGGACCAGACTGCTGATGTCACTTGCTGTGGTAACCGCCCCGACTACCTGACTCCCAGGGAAGGGCTGGGAGCGCTCATTTGTGAAGGAGGGAGGGTGCGTGGGGCAGAAAGAAGGGGCAGGAGGTGGGGAGCAGCCGCTCACTGTAAGGAGAGAGGCTTTACTGGGGACACCCTGGCAGGAGGGTAGGGGGGAGCAAGGAAGGAGAGGCCTACTGATTTGAGATGTAAAGTCACCCTAGACAAACCCTGTAGCCACTCTGACCCAGAGTCACCCTCACCACTCCACACTCAACCCCCAAGGCCTTCGATCCCACTCCCAGGGTCCCTGAGAACCCTCCCCCCAGCCCCACTACCAGGACTGGCCTGGCCACCACCATCTCTGACCTAAACCCTTGTTCCCAAACTTCAGAGGTCATCAGAATCAGCTGCAGGACTGAAACACGATTGCTGGGCTCCAGCCCCAGCGCCTCTGACTTAACTGGGCGGACAAGGCCTAGGAATCTGCACTTCGACCAGCCTCCCGGGTGATGCTGATGTGGCCGGTCCAGGGACGGTGCCTGGAGAATCACTGACCCACGTGATTCCTGCCTGCCGGCCCTGCCTCCACGCTGCGCCCCACGGCAGCCCCACGCCCAGGTCTCCTCCCACTAGAATCCCACCACTTATTCCACCTATATCAAGCCTCAGTCTCCCCCGGGGGACTTGAGGCCGAGGAAGAATCTGACAAACGTCCTTATCTCCAGTGCCCGAGGTGGAATCAGTTCAGCTATTACGTTCCGGTCAATGGAAGAAGTGGAATACGTGAGTGCATCTGGGAGCGGGGTAGGGGAGAGGGGAAGGTGCCATGACATGCCACACGCAGAAAAGAGGACAGAGGCACAGGCCAAAGTGTTAAGAGCTGAAAACGATCAGAAGGGTCTATTGGACCACAAGCACAGACCACTGCTAGATGGAGGCTAAATCAGCCAGTGGGATCTTGGGCTACATGAATAAGAGTGTCACCAAGGTCACCAAGGGAGACAGAGCATCTGGTCCTGTTAAGATAACACCTCGAGCCCTGAGGTCAGCTCTGGGGGTCGCTGGTGGCAATTCCCCAAGGGTATTCGAGAGAATGCAAGAAGTCAAACTGCCTGACCCTCACAGAACCTTTCTAGCTGCAGGGAGCAACACGGCTGAGGAATTACTGTTAAATCAAGCCAGCACCCAGAACAGAGCATGCCACACAGGAGGTCCTGGGAAAATGCTTGTTGAATGAATAATGAATAAATAACACTGATAAGAGAACTGATGTGTTAGGGGCCAAGGTCGACCAGAGGAAGACATCTGCGTAGATGGGAGAGAACAGAGACATGACTGAAGCCAAAAATGAGGTTTGGGGGCAGGTGTGTGTCAAAGTGCAGGATGAGGGAGATGCCTGGAAGGTGAGGGCGGCTGAGGGTGAAGGCTGATGGGGATACAGACAGGATCTGAGGCTGGGATGGTGAGGGCGGGGTGCCAGCTGCACGGGCAGAGGAATCCCTGGGACACAGCAGTATTTGGGGTGGAAAAGGCTGGGGAATTGGTGGTGCCGAGCCCTCGGTGCCTGGGTGGCAGCTGGGTCGCTGTGGAGCGTAGGGAGCAAATGGCATAAGCCTGGAGGGGTTTACGAGTGGAGGGTGCAGTCTGGAAGCAGCACTGAGGAAAGAGAGGATGCCAGCCCCATCTCTGGACCTGTGGGATGCTGGGGGAGGCGTTCAGTTTCTACTGGTGGGGACCCTGGGGAGAGCCTGGTCTCAGCCTGGCCGGGTTACCGACCCACCGGAGGAGGCTAAAGGTGGAAGTCGTCTGGGCCTCAGACACACAGGGCAGGAGGGAGGGGCGGCGAGAGGTGAGGAAGGCCCGAGTGGGAAGGGAGGAGAGGAAGGGGGCAGGAGGCTGCAGGTGGGGCTGGGCCCACTGCCATCCACAGATCTCTGCTCCGCCCCCAGACACCTTGGGAAGACCCACTAAAGCCTGGCATAGGGATGAACGCAGGAGAAAAGCAAGGGACCAAGTTGCATATGTGATTGCAAAACTACATACTGAAAAACAAAAGAAACACCCCTTTAACCCCAACTGGAAAAACTGACAAGAAGGAAATACAGTAACCCCTTAATGCTGGCTGTTTCTGGCTAAAGAAAACCTTAAGCAACGTTGTATTTATTCAAACCTTCTGTCCCCGAGTACCTAGAATGGTGCTCGGGGCATAGCTGGTGCTCAGTTAAACTGGGATGAGTGACCTGCCATGAAGCTAAAGGGCATGAAATGCACATGTAACAGGGGCAGGGGTGGGATGGGAACCATTTTAAATAGAACTAAAAAAGAGCCCAAGCCCTGCCACCAGGTGCCTCTCCCAGGCCGAGCCCCAGGACCGGCCCCCCCCAACACTCCCCTCTCAGACATCCAGGCCCTCACTTTCTCTCTGCTCTCTTCCTCTCCTCCGGCCAGAGAGGCTAGGGGCAGGGATCAGGCCTGGGACTGCACCAGACTCTGGGGGAGGTGAGCTCACAAAGGACCTTGGGTCTGGCTTGGGCCAGGTCACGCTTGATAGCAGACGCCCTGTCCCACTGTCACATCCTGATTTCTGGTCCACAAAATCTGGTCACCCGAAAGCCCACTGTCCCACCCTCAGAGAATGCATAGTCAAGGTGAGAAGACCAATATGCCCCTACCAGGGATCCCACAGGAGGGGGAGGCCCACTGCCAAGGGGTGCATCACAGAACAGAGAAACGGGCGGGGCACACAGAGGTGGGGCAGGGAGGAGGATTTAACACGTGTAAATTGCCGTGAAATGCCACAGGTTTCCCCCCCCACCAACAGGCTCTTTCTTCCTCCTACAACCCTGGGGACTAGAAAGGTCAGGCTGACACCAAGGCAAGAGGTAGGAACCTGACCTGCCCGATGGCATGTAACGACATGGACCCCAGCCAGAATCACACCCAGGCCTGGCTGGTTTCAAATCCTGTGCCCGCCAGCCCCAGGCTGCACCAAGAACTAGAGGTAAGGGGGTGGCTTCCTGGAGGAGGGGGTATGGGTGTTGAGGGCACGATGCAGCAGCATGTGAGGTTAGGCATCCCCAGAGTGAGGAGGCTGGGGGCGCAGGGGTGCAGCTCAGGCCGAGCACCCCTGTTCCATGGAGGAAACAGGGTGGGGCAGGGGAGGCCCTGCAGGGTAACGTGCCCTAAAGTGAGGGGTGACAACAAACAGGGCCCGGTCAGCAGGGACAGGAGGGGAGGCAAGGCACAGTAATAAGCTCCCCAGGGCCTCCCGCCTCCTTCTAGGACCCGGGAGCTGTCACCACAACAGCACCCGGAGGCAGAGTGCAATTAGCCAGGAGCACTTTGCTCTGCTCCAGCCCCCTGGGGACCCAAGCTCCTGGAGGTCTGCCTCCTGGCCCTTGAAGGCTCGAGACCAGCCAGGCCCGGTGCCCTGACATCCTGCAGGAGGAACCTTCAGCCCAGAGACGAACACAGACCTGCCACAGCATGGATGACAGACCTCCCGCCTGTGGGTCCGGGGCCCCTTCCTCCACTCACTAGATGGGGAGCTGCCCCAGGGCACTGCCTAAGGCCAGGCCCAGGACAGAGCACACAGCAAGCTGAGGCTCCTCCCTACAATGGCTAGAGAGCCCATTCCCCAGGAGGGGACACAGCGGGTCAGGCTCTGGCCCCACGAGACACAGGGTAGGAAAGCAGGCTGTGGGGCTGCTGGCCAGTAGCTGGGTCCAACAAATTGGAGAAGGGCTCTGCTCTCAAAACTTTCTTGAGCATTCTCTGTGCCAGGCTCCTGCTGGGCTCACCGACAAGATGTAGTTGGGCCAGCTTTGCCCAGGGGGAGCTCATCTCAAGAAGGGAGACCGCAGGTAAACAGGTGATTATAGGGCAGGTGGGAAGGATGGGCCAGCCCTGAAGGATTCCTGTGTGCCACCTCCAGCCCCAGACGGAGCCCTGACCAGACTAGGGGTGGGCTCAGAGGCAGGAGGACCTTGCTCTGGGCTCAGAGAAGGGGGTTGGAGCCTGGAATCAGGGGGGCAAGGATAGCTCTATACCCAGCGAACAGCACTGAGCCCCAACCCCAGTGAAACGATCCCACGTGTGGCTCTCTGAGGCCCTCCCAACGTGGACATCTTACAACTACCCATGTCTACAGACTTCAGCAGTGGCCTTTGCTGAGGGCCCTACAGCATCTGTGTCCCTACAGACCATCAGGAGCCAGGCTCCAGGAATACCCACCCCAGGGTGGCTTTGAAAGGTCACACCCCCGTCCAGAAGACACGAAAATAGAGCACCTGCGACAGTCCCAGCCTCGGCTAAGGGCACAGCTCCCTCTGATGGCTGAGGGACGCCACAGACAATAAAAACAAACGCACTGCTCCTTGGTCCCTGCTTGCCTGGGAATACCCATTATGTTGTACGAATATTAATTATCATAACACTGGCAATGCAGACACCATTCCCTGAGCACTGCACCCTGAGAACAGTATCTCGTTTTGCCCTAACAAACTCCCTGAGAGGGAGCTACCCTCATATCCTGGTTTTCCGGATGAGTAACCGGCGCTAATAGCGACCACATGGCGAGGCGGGGGCTCCAACCCAAGCCATAAGGCCGAGGTACCGGAGCTGGTCAGCCCTGCCGCCAGTTCCTCGTAGGAAGAGCAGGAAGGGCCGGGGTGAGCAAGGGGCAACGACCTGTATCTGCTGACACGGGAACCCAGGATGCAGTCCCAGCTGATTACTCTTCAGAGACCAGCACTCCAGCGTCTACTCCAGCAGCCCTGCCTCCCCAAGAAGGGACCGTGCAGTGTGGGGGTAAGGGGCTGCACTACCGAGTGCTGTCACAAGCGGGCGGAGCGTCACGAGAGAGCCAGTTCTTCCCAGCCTAAACTCTCGGTGCCGCTCGAGAACATCAGTGCTTGGAACCAAGAATCACGGAACAAAATCATCTGAACCACTCCTGCTGACCAAGTGAGGAAACTGAGGCCAAGATAAGGGCGAGGACTGGCCAAGTCTCGACAGCAGGTACTGGCAGGGGGTCTCCTGAACCCCAATGACTGGGGTCTCCACACCGCACATGATTCAGGTCGCTTCCACATTTCACACGTGAATATTCCACCAAGTGGCTACGGGGACGCTGTGGGCCCCCACATGTCAGGTGGGGACACATCCCCTGGGAGCCACACAGCTTGCCAGCACCTAGGCCTGGGGATCCTCAGCTGGCAGGTGAGGGAAAGGTGATTCTGCTGCTCAGCCAACGCCGGGAGCCCTGGTGTCACCCCACGCCCCACCCCTGCACAAGTGTTCATAAAGTCACCTCTGCAAGTTCAGGCTGCACCTCCCTTGTCCAAGCGGTGAGGGCCCCACCCCACACCTCACCTTTTGCCACAGTGACTCCCGGGAGGCGAGTGACGAGCAGGCCGCCACAAACCAACAGTTGCCCACTTGGCCCTGGTGCAGGTCGTGGGAGCTGATGCCGTCCACAAAAAGGCGGGGGTCCTCACATATGTCCTGCGGAGAAGCCAAGAGGAGACCTCACTGTCAGCGTGGAGATTCGCCACCTCCCCTGACAGACTGGGGGGCCCCCTGAGCAGCCAGTTGGTTTTCTCCGAATCCAGCTCCCCCCTCACAGCAGGTACGGCCTGGAATGCCCTTCTCCCATCGCCCGACTGAAGAACTCTGCCCTTCTCCCAGAGGTTCAAATTGATCAGATGCTATGGAAGGTCTTTGGGGGACTGGACCCTGGGCACCCCCTTTCTCCTGCCCTCCATGGTCTTCCCCAACCAGCCAGGGGTCGGTTCCCATCATGCTCCTCATCCTCCAGCATCAGCAGCCCTGCAGCACCCACACCAGCCCACCCTCAGGGCCCCCCTCACAAAGAGGGTGGGGCCCCAGGGGGGAGACAAACACCCCACAGGTGATGAACGAGTGGCAAAGGCAGGGAGGAGCTGGGAGCTGACCATGCCAGGCCTCATGCGGGCACATCCTCAGGCTACCTCGCTGGATCTTCAACCCACCCCAAGAGTGTGGGGTTGTTACTCTATTCTATGGATAAGCAATGAAGGTTCAGAGAAGGGCAGTGATTTGTCAAGGGCACACAGCAAGCAATACTGAGCAGAGCCGCTGAGCAGACATCCACAGAGCTTCTGGAATGCCTTTCGTGTGTCCAGTGTGGGCCCAACGGGTCAGCAGGGGCAGGGGCTGGGCATGACGGCAGTTTCCTTCCCCTTCCCAGTCTGGGTCTCTGCTTGGGGCATGCGTGTGCCCGCCTGTGTCCCGAAGCATCTATACTCCACGGAGCTGGGAGGGAGTGGGAGGTGGTAAACACTGAGACATACCTACCATGTGCCAGGCATCCTGCTGGCACCACGATCAATCCTCACCATGATCCTGAGAGGTGGGTACTGTGCCCATTGTACAGATGAGGAAACTGAGGCCCAGAGAGGTTGAACAACACGCCCCAGACACACAGCTGGGTCTGCCTCCCTATCAGCTGGTTCAATCACAACCCAGCTACTGAGGTCCTACCGCACGCAGCCAGTAGAAGTCAGCAGAGTCAGGAAGATGGAAGTCAAATTCCTGTTTCCCATTTACTGGCTGTGCAACTTTAGGCCGGTGGCTCAACCTCTCTCAGCCTCCATTTCCTCACCTGTGCAAAGGAAGCAGATGATTATTCCTGCAGGGCTGTGTAAGGACTCCATGGACTATGGAAGCTGGGCACTCAGCAGGGAAAACGGGGCAAAGGGCTATCGGTCCTCACTAAGGCATCTGGGACTCCGGTTGTCACCTCTGCCTGGGAAAACCTGGGTTTTGGAGGGCCAGATTAAAGGCCAAAACTCCCCGGAGGGTGTGAACAGCTCCAGATAGGACTCCAGGGTGACCCAGAGCCAAGCCACAATTATGGCTTCCCCATAGTACAGACTGTGGGATGCCACAGGTCTGAGTAATATTGCCCCAGGTCACGGAAACACGGCAAGGCTGTGCTATCAGGAAGCAAGGGCAGCAAGAAGCCTTGCCTCCCTCCCCGCTGCCCTCCTTATCTTATTTCCTAGGCTCTGGCCCACACCCAGCTAGACTGGAGCCAGACGGAGCCATGACTTAGCATCTGCCTCCCTAGAACGGCAGGCAGGGTGGGAGTGGAGGGGCGCCTCATATCCGCAGATCCCAGCCACATCCCCAGCACGGGAGAAGAGACAGCCACCACTTGGCGTCACCAGGGTCTGCAGAGATGACCTCCTAGTACCCCTCCCCTTCAGATCTTCCCGCCAAGGCCCTGGACAGAGACAGGACGGCCCATCCGTTCTCAGAGGAGGATGCTGAGGCCCAGCAGGCAGTGACACTCAAGGTCACCAGGGCCAGGATCTCAAGACCTATGTCTAGCCTTCCACCTTTCTTGGGCTATCGAGTAGGCACAGAGCACAGAACTAGTCAGGGAGATTCCGGGCCAGGGGGAGGGCCCGTGAGGAGGAAGAGCTTGACTCCGTCATGTGCCCACAGCTATGACAGCAGGAACCCAGGCTGCCGGGAGGCGGTTACACCAACACAGCAGGCATGGAGAGGGTTGGTGGCTAGGGAGGCTCGACTCCAAATTCACCCCAAGATGGGATCCAGCCACAGTGCTGAGATGCACGCCTTCTGACACCATGCTCCTCTGGGCTCCCGGCCACCTCTCTCCCGTCCACACAGTCCACACTGAGGTTTGTCTTTGGGCCACCCCACCGGCCTGCGAGCTCCAGGGCAGGGCCTAGGCCCGACTCTGCCCACCCCACGACCAGGGCCGGGAGCAGGGCTCAGCAGGTTCTGCTGGGGTTGTAGGCAGGATCCCGGCGAGAGAGGGCAAAGTGGCACACAGGACTGGACCGGTCAGGCAACTGCTGTGAGCCCCAGGCCAAGCCGTCCCCCAGGGCTAGGAGGTGACAGCTCCTCTCCTCCACATATTTCTCTCTGGGGCATGGCCTTCTACGCTTTCTACGGCTTCTACGCCTGCAGTCACCTCTCTTGCCTCTCAGCCTTCAGCCAGTCAGACCGGCTCCACCGGACACAGTTCAGAGCCCAGAACCATCTCCCTCTGGGGCACAATAAGAACCTCAGGTTTGCAGGCCCGGTGCACAAACAGGAATGCAGCAAGACAGCGGACCCAGGGCACATTCTGCCTCCCCTTCCATCCTGCTCATCTGTCACCTCCCTCTGGGGATCTGAGATCGCGATAGGAATCGACCACACCGCCGGGGAAAGGCCCGGGAAGGAAGCAGTCCCTCTGCCTGCCTGGGACACAGGAAAAAAGGGCAGGTTCTCAGGAGCACTAGCCTGTGCCCCACCCCCTCTGCAACAGACCTGCCTCTCCATCCCCCATCCCCTGCTTCGCCTCTCTTCCCACAGCAGTCCCCTCCTGCTAGGCCACCCAAGCACATGCACAGAAGGGAATTTTTCCGGAGGGGTGGCACAGAGGCCCGGACGGCTGGCCCTGGTGAATCTACCTGTTCCATGGCACAGGGGCCTACCATCCAGCACAGCCAAGGAGTGGGGTCTTCACCAAGTGCTTGCGTGATGAACATGAGCCCAGGGCTCGGGGCTGGGGACCACCAGGCCACCTTGGGAGAATTCAGGGAGGTTCTAAAACACATCTGTTTGTGGAACCCCTACTTGTTCCCTTTGGTTCCCTTTGGTCCCTTTGGTTCCACCAAAGGACCTACATGCAAACTTATCTCCAGAGATGGGGAGAGGCTGGATGGGGCAGCAGGTACTCTGTCCCCACAGAGATGAAAAAGGGCCCCTACTAAGGCCCTGCGCCTTAGAGAGGAGGCAGCCCTTCATACCTCCACACTCTCGGGATTCCCCCTGAGTCACAGGCCTCGCTGACAGTGTTCCTCTCTTATCTCCCTGGCCAGGACTGTGGGAGGCCAGCAGGCCTTGCCAAACTGGAAGGAACAAAGAAACAACGAACCCAGAGGAGTGAGACATAAGACAGGTGCCCTGGGTGGGTAATGAGGCGGACAAGGCCTGGCCCCACCCACAAGACAGGGGTCTTTCCAGGCAGGGCGAGCTCTGGGTCCTCAACCCGGGGTTGGCAAGGAGCAGGTGGGTGAGAGAGGGAGCCGGTTTGTCATGTGTCCCCCTTGTGTTGACACCACAGATACCTCAAGTCCTTTCAACCTCCAGCAACCATGATCAGCAAGTTATTCTCCCCATTTACAGATGGGGCAACTAAGGCCAAGGTCATACCTCCCACGACCCTGCCGGGAGGGAGGGCCAAGTCCATCTGAATGAAAAACCAGCCTCCTCATTCCATTTTGGGAGAAAGCAAGAGGGCGGCCAGCAGGGAGGGAGGCTGACTGAGGAGATCCTCACGAACAGAGAGGCCATGATACTGACCAACCTAAACGAGAGGGGCTGAAGGTGACATGGGAGAAAGAAGGCCTTCCCAGGGGCTGCCCAGAAAGGGCTCTTTGCTCTATTTGTAAACAGTCAGGTCACAGGCTCCAGGAAGTAGGACTCCATGGAAACACGGCCGCCTCAGGACAAAGTTCCATCTCACTGGCCAAGAACCAAACAGCTGGGAGTTCATGGTCACCCCACTGGGCTAGTCTCGCCCCACCCGCCTGAGGCAAGCCGGGCCTGACTTTCTGCTCCACCTACCGCCCATCCTGACGGTGCGGTGAGGGCCTGCCCGATATTCGAGCCTGCACCACCCAGCAGGCACCGCTCACACACCCACCATCCTGCACACCCCGATCCACACAGTCTGGCCTCCTCATCCAACACCACTCGGCCGTGCCTGGCCTTGAACCACCTCCCAAACCCAGAACTGATCCCCCACAGCCACCTCCGAGCTACACTCGGGCATCTCCCAGCTGACACCAACCACCACGGCAGGGGCAGCTCTGCTCCTCCTCTTTCAGTGTCTAGAAAGGACCGGACACCAAGCCCAGTGGGGAAGGCAGTGAAGAAGGGGGCAGCATGGCAGGACTCCCAAACTGGCCGGGAAAGGGGCCCAGAGAGGGCAGGTGACTCCACCAGGATCACACAGCAGGGGGAGGCCGAGCCCAGCCATGTTGGCATTTCCTCCTCTAGCACAGCAATCCCAGCTTTCCCCAGCCATACCTCGCCAGCCTCCTTCAGAGGCGCAGATCTAAAATGTCTGGGTGCTGGCCAGAGGGCAGGACAAGGGCAGCAAAGGGGTGGAGTGAGGAAGGCAGAGAGCTCAAGTGTCTCCCCCTCCAACACACACACACACACACCCCCAAGGCCTCACAAAGGCCCTTTGAGGCTGGCCTCCTTCCCCACCCACCAGACAAAGGAGGGAGAGGAAGGCGTGGGGGTAGGGGTTCTGAGAGGCAAGAATCTTGTGGCCAGGAGGCTTCTGGGAGTTCTGAAGAATCAAGGCAGCTCACAGGGCCGAAGTGAAAGGTCTGGTGTCAGGGTGGAGGGCCAGGCGAGGCAGGACTCCTGGGTCCCAGCCTGGCTCTGTTACCGACTCCCTGGGCAACCAGGGGATTGCCTCCCCCTTCTGGCCTCAGTTTCTCCACCTCTCAGGTACCCCAGTCCAAGAAAATACACAGGATTTTTTGAAGTGGAAGGGACTTGAGATCATAGCCTAGGAAAAGGACATGAAAACTAAATTCCATTTTCCCAAGATGTCTAGGAGGCTGCAAGGAAATTTGTAAAATGCAAATCTGACCCGATGTGGGGCTCGAACTCACGGACCGCGAGATCATGACCTGAGCTGAAGTCGGCCACTTAACTGACTGACCCACCCAGGCGCCCCAGGTGCTATTGTTTTTCACTACTATTAACTACTTACCATAATAAATACTTTCATTTGCAGCAAATGACTGTTCCAAAACCATCACAAAAATAATCAGCAAACTCCTTACACTTCACCGTCACTCTACATTTTACTAAAAATAGGTCACATCCACATTCACCTCATTTTTGGCCCAAAACCACCCTGGGAGAAGGGTGGCAGGGCGGAGGGCCCCATTTGCCCTGTGAGGAAGTTGAGGCCCAGAGAGGGGGCGAAATCCCGGCCAGGCAGTGATGGCCACAGGGTCAGGGCCCATGCTCGTGCTCCCTATCCAGGTGAAACCCCGCAGCAGGAGGGTCCTCCACTTTCTCAGCCACCCGGGGCCTCAGGATGACCAGCCACCGCCCAGTCCCCCGCAGGCTGCTCGCCTCAGTTCCGGTTGCGACCAGACACTGACCTTGGGCCGCTTCCACCTGACAGTGGGCCCCGGGGTGCCCTTGTAGTACAGGGAGTCGTCGGTGGCCGGGAAGTTGGGGTCCTCGAAGAGCACCTTCCTGCGCAGACAGGCCCGCTTCAGGGCGGAGTAGTTCTGGTCCTCGTAGGGCTTCACACACGAGAACATGGTGGCAGCTACCCCAGCAGGGGAGGCCGAGACAAGGCAGCAGAGAGCTTAGGTGGGGACGTGGGTGGCTCCGGGGGTACCTGGGAGGACAGGAAGGTGAGGAGATCATCACTTACCGAGGACTGGAGGACCCAAGGCACACGGAGTCAGGTGACCCTTGTGTGCCCTCCCTGTGGCCCTGTGAAGCGGCCCCCTCATCCCCAGATGACAGGCCAGGAGCCGAGAGGCTCAGAAGCGGGGACAGACACAGCTGCTACTTGCACAACAGGGACAGGAACCAACTGACCTGACTCCACATCCTGAATCCTCTCATTTCTGATGCTTAGAGGGGGCGCCAGCCCACAGGCAGGCTAAGGGCACAAGCACAGTGATGCTGGGGCTGCCTGGCCACACCCACCTGCTCCTTCCTTTGTCACCAGCCTTTCCTAGACCTGCCAGGGCCGAGTCAGGCTCATGGCCGACTCAGCAGCTCCCTAGCTGGTGCCGCACACACAGGAAAGCAGCGGCACTGCCTCCAAGCTTCTCTCCCCTGGACCCTCCCCGCGTGGTAAAGGCACATTTCTGTCCCCTGTGGAGGGCGCCCCCCTCCAGCCATCCATCCATCGTTTACATTCTCTGTCAGCCCCACCCTCTAGCAAGCACTGCCTTCTGGAATAAACATCTCCTCCTCCTCAATCCTACTGACCTAACCTCCCCTGAGGCCCCCCATCCCTCACTCCTAACCTCCCATCCTCCCAAGCCAGACTCTCGCTGATGACCTCCCAGACCTCACAAAGGCTCACTCCTGAACAGTGTCATCTGGGTCCCCAAGGGCGAAGGCACTGCTTCTGGCTCCTCCCCCACCTCTGGCCTCCCTCTTCCCCTGGGGGCTCTGGGGGGCTGCACCAAGCCGTGTTCTGCTCACCATCTCTGCCCGATGACCCCCATCTCCCTGTGTTCAGCCTGGGCCCCTCTTCTAGGCCCCCAACCGGGCCACCCCTATGAGGTCCCAGGGTGCCCACAGCCATCAATACCAGACTAAACCCTTCGCCTCCCTCCACACCTCCCCAGGATTCCGGTCCCAGGAAGCAGGACCAGAAGCACCCATTAGACTGGGAGCCCCCAGAGAGCAGGGTCCACTTGGTTTGCTCCTCCTGTGCATGCGGCCCCTGCACCGAGCTCGACACAGAAAGAGGCTGTACACGTCAGCATCCTCCCTGCAACCCCCCTCAAGCTTGTAGCCACAGGTAACCAAACTGGAGGGCCACTGACCGGAGCGACAGGGCCAGGGAAGCCATTCGGGGGGGGGCGGGGTGGGGAGGGGCCTGACGCATGCTCAGAGGACCAGGATCTGACAGCCCCTGTATCTCAGACTCTATCTGGGCTGCTGGCAGAGCTCCACCCCCGCTGTCCGGGTCTACGCAACCTGGGGCCTGCCCAGGCAACACTGCAATCCCACTGGGGCACAGGCCCTGACTTCCCAGCCCAGCTGAGGGAAACCGAGGCAAGGTATGCTGGCTTCTGGGGTGAACACAAGTTTGAAAACAAGACTGACGTGGATGCCAGTCCCAACTGCGCCTCTCACCTGCTGTGTGGCCTTGAACAAGTCTCCCTCTCTGAGTGCGCATTTTCTCAGCTCCACAATGGGAGCGATATTGCTTTAAGAACCGGAAGATGCCATTGCTGAGAAGACGGCTTAGCAGGCCAGAGAGAGGGGGATGAGAAGAGGAGGACACAAGTCACCTCTCATTGCCAAGAGAGCAGCTCCGTCTCTCCGGCACCTGCCATGTGCAACCCAGCAGGCAAGAGGCAGTATAGGAAAACAGTGCTGGGAAGTCGTTCATCGCGTCCATTTTTCAGGAAAGAAAACTGAGACTCAGGGGAGGGGCCTTGCCCACATTCCATGGCAGAGCCTGGACTTGAACTCACATCTTTTGGTGCCTCCACCTTGGCCTGGTGACCCCGTGGCACAGGAGAAAGGGCTGATTCCACACACTCTGGCTGCGCCAGGTTCACGGGAAGGGAAAGACGAGGGATGTGACGGGGAAGGGAGTAGCAGGAAGGGCAGGAGGTGAGATGGGCGGTGAGTGTGGAACTCGGAGGGGCAGCAGGGAGAGCAAGGAGGGCTCACGGTCCCTGGCCGCCAAGGACACACGGCCACTTCACCTTCTGCCCCACATCCATACGGGGCCTGCTTGCTCCGCTGCTGTGTGACCTCAGGCCAACCACTTAACCTCTCTGGCCCCGCCTCTTCCAGGAAGGCCCCAAACACTTTCAGCCTGGGAGGCCTTAGGGAAAGAAGAGGGGAGCCTGGAGAGCCAGCCCCTGGACTTCTGACACACAGCCACTCAGGGGAGTCATTAGCATCACAGCTTCCAGCAGGGCCTGGTCAGGAAGCAATTAAAGCTGTAAGAATTAGATCAAAGAAGCTGAAAGCAGGATCCCAGAAATCAGCTCTAGCAGTTCCAAATTCAGAGCCCAGAGGGCCCAGGGAGAGGGAGCAAGCTGGCTGAGGCGGCACAGCCAGGTCACGGAGAATGAAGATTCTGGTGGCCCTCCAGGCCACATGGTGGTCAACGCTCCCAGGAGGCTCTGCTCCCAGGGAGGCCGGAAACAGGAAAGCCTGGCTGGGCCCAGGCCAGGAGAATGGGGGCCAGGCCTGGCTGAAGGTCCAGCCCTGGCTCATCTCTCCAGCCTCACCCCTGCCAGCAAGGCTGCCCCAGCCTACTTAGGCCAGGCTCTTCAGCCCCAGCCTTTCTCTGCACAGCTTGTACCTCATGGCGACTGTCCTCTCACACCTTTGGCATGCCCCAAGAATACTTCCCACTCCGCGCATTGAGTCAACACTCCCACGGGGTCATGGAGTCAAAATGAGCTCTGCCCCCCCTCCCCATAGCTGCAGGCATCACTGCTGAAGGCCGCGGGGAAACCAAGAGTCAGGAAAGCCGGCTTCCAGATCTGGGGGCTCTTCTCGGGGCTCTTCTCTCTGGGCCTGAGTTTGGAGCATGGCACACCCCGCTTCTGAACGTCTTCACACTGTGCGTGAACCCGCACTGACAGGAGAGTCCGAGTTTCCCAGCTGCTTTCAGCAGCCCTCTTCCCTCTGCCCCTGCCAAGCTCACCCCACCCCTACCATTCTCCACGCCACGTTCAGTGCTCCGAACCCCCTGCAGTTCCTGTAGCTGTTTACTCGGAGCCTGTGCACGCACCGTTCCTTCCACATGTGCACACCCGGGGAACCGGTCATCTTTCAAGGCTCAGCCCAAGTGCCTCCCTCCCACCCCCAGCCCGTCTCCTCTCCCCCTCCACAGGACGGGAAAGCCTGTGACGGCAGCCATTACATCATGCCCCATCTGCGTAGGACTTATCCATCTCCCCAGCCCAGCCTACACCCCTGCAGGGCAGGGCCCGTGTCTGGCTCCTCTCTGTAACCTCAGGGTCCAGCACTGGGGGCAGGTTCAATACATCTGTATTGAGAGAGAGCCAACATGGGGGATGTAGGAATCCCTTCGTGGATGGGAAAAACAGGCTCAAAGCGTGGCATGGACTACCAGAGAGGGTCAGCTTGCCGCATCTGAGCCGCACCAGCTCTCAGGTCCTGAAGGCAGGGCCTGCCCCTTCCCACGGCCCCCCTCCCTCCGACTCCCACTGCAGCACCATCACCCCTGCTGTTGAGGGCGCTTCACAGCTGCACCCGGACACTCCAGGCAGCCAGCGCTTCTCCAGCTCTCGGCGGAGAGCTGGCTCTAGTTCCCCAACATCCTACGCTGTGCGACCCTGGACAGGCCACAACACGTCTCTGGTCTGCATGGTCCTCATCTGGAAGGAAGTGCTCATGTGCCAGGGTCTCTGGGAGGACCAAAGGAGACACTGCCGCACAGAACTGCATTTTGTATGCTTCGATGCATGTGCTCCTGAGGGATGTCGATGCTGACGTCTGGGATGCACCTACAATGTGTCCACAGCCCTGCCAGGAGGGCGAGAACAATTCAGGCTTCCGCCCCCAAAGCGCTTCATGGTCGAGTGTGGCCAGAAGACACAAGGCACGTGGAATATGTCACCTCAGAGATTCCGGCAAGAGCGACGCAAGGAGGCCTTCACAGAGGCCTGGTCCCGGAAGTCAGTTGTTCTTTAGGAAAGGCCATTCCAGGCAGAGGGAACAGCTCAAGCAAAGTCTCAGCGGCAGGCAGTGCGAGGTGGTTCAGACCCAGCTGGGCACAGTGGGGGCTGCCAACTGAGCACAGGGTGCTAACCTGGGTCAGAACGAGGGCCTGAGAGCACTCACCAGGGAGCTCAGAGAAACCACTTTTCTGGCAGGTCGGTAAGACTTGAGCTCGAGTCCTGACTGCACCACTTAGCATATCCTTGGACAAGCTGTTAACGCCTCTGAGCTGCTATGTATCAGCCCCACCTCGTCCCAGCTTCTCAGGTGACAGGGAAAGACAGGGAAAGGTGCCCTGGGCACCTCACCTTGGAAATGGTGTGTACCCATTTCCAGGCGGCTGTGGCCCCGGCTGCTGTTGTTCCCTGGGCCTCGAGAGGTGGTGGGCATGGCCCCGCTGTGCACAGGGTGGAGTGAGGGCTCATCTGAGGTCACACTGAGCCAGCTGCGGGAGGAAGCTGACGCCAGTGAGCATTCCCTCGATGCTACGGCCACCACAGCCAGGGAGGAACCGGAGAGAGAGTCTGGTCCCATTTTATAGATGAGAACATCGAGGAATGTGTCCCAAATCTGCCACCCGTTAGCTGGATCCCAAGCTTCCAGATTCCTTATCACACCAGGGCTTTTCAAAGCAGGGCCCCGATTAACACTGTGATCACTTTAGGGGGTACTTTGACGTGGCAGTAAAGACGTCAGTCAGAAAGCTGTTCCCCATCCCGTTCTCTCTCAAGGACTCTCTCTGAAGGAGAATTCGGTTTGGTCCAGCGTGTCAATCCCTTGTGGCCTCTGCGCACCTATACTTGCCGAAGGAGGATCAGGCCGGGCTCAGAACACCAGCATCTGGCCAAAAGTGAATGGATTTTTCTGCCGTTTTTCCTTTATTTTTAAGTACCAGTTACCTTGTACCTATGGAGAGTAATACTGACTTTCTTTTTTTTT